TGGCGTTATCTTCATATTTAACGCATAGACCTGAGAGTGGGATCAATCCTCTCATCTAACTCTTGGCAAAAAAGCGAATAAGCATATTTCTTTAAAACATCAAACTATTTCTTAAAGTTAAAAGAGAGCAAATTGATGTTGGGATTGGGTTGAAAATGACAGACAGAGACTCCCTAAACTAACAATGAATATTTTATAGCTCTAGAGCTTGAACTCTAGTGAGTCACACAATCTCTCTGAGGTGACGCCTCCCACCAGGCACAGCTGAACTTCACCAGACTGTAAATTAGAGAGGATAGAAGTTACAAGGGGAAACAGAAGGAGGTGGGGAGCGATATATAGAGAGAGGAAAAGAGTGAGAGAAGGAGGGGAGAGAAGGGGGGTGGGGGGGGTGGGGGGGGGTGGGGGGTTACACTGTTACAGCACTTCCTTAATACCCTGTTACTGTAGAATTTTTATGATGCATCACAGCTTCTCTCAAGAAAAAAGCAAGTGATCTGGGCAAGTTAGTCGTTCTGGGCTGTGATAGCCAGTTGAAGAGATGAAGCGAGGAGAAAGAAGCCAGCAAAGACATGAGGGGGCGGGGGAAGGATAGGAAGTACTCTGTGGGCGGCAGAATCAGACCCCCCCCTTTCAGCAGCGACTGACGTCAGAGTGTGTTAGGTGCGTGGGCTGAAGGGCGGGATGGATGGGGCGTGGGGGCGAGGGAGTGGGAGGTAATTGGAGGGGCGTTGCATTGACTCACCAAGCGACAGTGTACAAAAATAAAACCTGTGGGCAGGGAAATGGCACAGTCTTTTTTATACATCTTCTCCCTCTACCAAAAGGACTGCGGAAACAACAAAAAATGACATATGTTTCATCTCTGACGTCGATCTCCTTCACTTTTGTCTAATTTTTTTCCCTCTCTCTCTCTCACTCATCCAAGTTTCCTTCGTCTGCCTTTTCATTAATCAGAGCTTTCTCTCACTTCCTTTCCACGTCACTGCCATAACTTATCTTCCGTTGTCGGGCCATGTAGTCAGGATGTCATTTCTCATACGTCATTTTAATGTTTAAACCGTGAATTCGAAATCCTCCATCTGATAAATCTACCCACCTGTATTTTTCCATGTATGCTACAGAAAGTGTGCTATTACATTTTTGTGTTATCACAAATTCTTCAGAAGTTATTATATTTCTACATGCTGTTAAAACACACAGGCACTGACGGTTTCTTAATGAGCAAATAAATCAATGGTGAATAAATGAATCATACTTTTAGTGATACTCACATTTATAACCTCTCTTGCAAGCTAATGAATGCACATCAGAGGTTATTGTTTCTATACAAATACACAATGTACATTTACATTACACGTCTTTATCACCAGCCCAAAACTAATTCAACTTGTAATACTGGAGACTTTTTATTATATCAACAGCCTGGGTTGGTCATATAAACCAAGATGATTTCACTCCATGTGGGAGGGTTTCTTGCTGAATTCCCCAAACTATTATTCAAAGGTTTTAAAACACTGGTTGCATCTAGATTACTGTGACTCTCTTAGCTTATATTCATCCTTTGCCTCAGTATTATTATAACTGTCTGTCTGGTCTTTGTACTGTACATCTGACATTCAAATGTTAAAAGAGGAGCACCAAATCAAAAGTGTTTGAAACACATAAAGCTAGACGTGATATATTTTCCTGTGATTTTCCAGTTGATTGACAGCTCAGAGTAGATTTTAGGGTGTTACAGACAGATCCATTCGTGACCTGAAAACCACTTGCTTCATGTGCACATGTAGGAAGCTTTTTCAACTGTTCATGCAACTATTGCTGATACTGAGCGTAAGTAAAGACCTCTGCTTCTGTGTCTATCTCTATAACTGGTGACCCACTGCAGAAAAGGAGCTATTAAGGAATATTCATCCTGTCAGTCCTTTTGAAGTGTAAAGTGACTACTAAATCATCATATCTCATCTTAAACTTTACTTTTGCCCACAGACCTTGACAGCAAAGTGGACAGGCGGAGCTCGATAACAGCGTGCAGGAGCAGTAGTCCTTGCATCACCAAAGACGAATCTAATCACCGCGGGAAATGAAAATGCTCCGGCGGCTGTCCGGGAACTCCTTCTCAAGCCTGCCACTGAAGTCTGCGTCTGCTATACAGGCTGTTGCTGAGCATCACTGACATCTGATGAGGAGACGACTCTTACCGACTTCAAAATCAGTACAGTGGATGTAAGAATCTACCAGTGACCGAACCTGCAGTGACTTCTAAAAAGTTCGAAATGTTCTGTTTTGACTTTATACTGAGTAAATATGTAGGGGAGACACTTTGTTTTTTAAGTACATGGACTACACGTCCTGCAGATTTTAGCGGATGATGGCAGAAATGAACTGATTTTATCAGGAAAATCCTGATATTTTGTTAAATTAATACCATTTTTGTGAGAGGTGATGTGTGTTGAACGTGCCAAATGAAATAGGCTCTACACAGCAGGGGGCAGTGCAACTTTGGAAAAAAACTCTTAAATTACTCCAGTAACATATTGTAGTTATGTAAAGGAAATGTGGATTCGTATGGAGACTGATAACATTCTCAGCAGCTCCTCACCCTCAGGAAACAGATGGACATTGATGGTTTTTGGAGTCAGTGAGTTAGATATTCTTTATGATTCAAAGATGAGGATAAATAAAGTCCATGAAGGTAGGTTAGTTTTAAGGAAAAAAAGGAGCGTTTGTGGCATTTGTTGATCTAGATTTCATACACACAAACACCACCATCAGGTTCAGAGGCCTTTTGTTCCTTGCTGCATCATCTCGTCTCACCCATGAGATCTGAACAAGCATGCTAAGGTTTATGAGATATAAAGCCATGGGTCTCCATCATCCACATCTTTCTGTAATAATGTTTTGCACAAGCTACTGATATGGTGTTTGTAAGAGATAATACTTCAGGCTTGTGTTTGAGGCATTTCATTATTTTTCGGTGTGGGAAAATGTACTCAGAACACTGATGCTTTATTGATTTCCAGTCAAAAGCTAATTTTTCAGTGGCCTCTCTCGAAAGCGAAATCAGGGTCGGCTACAGTGTCTTGCTCTAGGGCCCTTCAGCAGGGAGGCTGTCATCAGATGCTCTTCTCTCTCATCATTACTTTAATCTCTTTTCCCATAGGCACCATTGTACAGCCTTTGAAGAAACTGCATTCAGAACTATGTTGCAAGATTTAGAGAATTGAAAAACATTTAACATGGCATTTTCAGAAAATGTGGTGACTAGTGTAGATTTTTGATGAGATTTTATTTAGGTGTAGCAAAGACTTAGAATATGGCAGTGTGTTTTGGGGGTGATTTCTGTAGTCTTAGATATTAACTAGGTGAACCTTATGTCAGTTTCCCTTTTTAAAAACTTTTGTTCTTTTGAGACTTAAAGTAAATTGGGGTTAGTAATATTTTTTTTACTTTATGAGCTTCAGAAAAAGAAAAAACACATGCAGAGGTTTACAGATAGAAACCTCATGATGGTGCTTGACTCTTGATACAGCAGCTCCAAGTTACGTCAGACCATGTGGCCCTGTTTTAAATTGTTAAAATGTATTCAGATTTCATGTCATGACAAGGCTCATGTTGATAATGATTATAAACGCAAGGATTTTTGTATACTCAGTCTCAGAGTACGTCAGTGAGGTGGCTTTCAGTGCATCAGTTACACCTGCCTGTTTCTTGAGCATTAGTAACCTCCTCAGTTTATTATGTTGCGAACAGATTATTTATTTTGTTACATCTCAATAAATGTTATTTTATTGCTTAAAGCCACAGCATGTTGCATTGTTTTCCACAAAGAATCGTTTCTTTCTTGGCAGTTCTGATGTGTGGAAGAGGCCGCAGGAGCTGCGTCACACAGCCAGCAACACCTCTGCTGTCGTCTTGTTTGTTGCACTGACGCTTTGCACCGAGCCTCAATGACTCACCTGTACCAGCGATGTCATCAGCGCTCATCCACACATACCCTCCCTCGCTTGATTTTCAGACAGACACCAGAGAGGATAAAGATGCACAATAAAGAACCTCAGGCAACCTCAAGGAATTCAGATATAGGATTTCAAAACCACAAATGAATGTTTGTTTCACTGTATTGTATGTGTAACTCAAAATCATGAAGGTCAGCGTACAATGGATTGAAAGTTAAAATTAAGTATTGCTATTATGAGACATACGAGTGGCTTTAAGGATGGCAACGATGGTCTGTCAGCTGATAAGACAGTAGGTGAACCACTTGGGTCCAGACTGAAATACCTCTTTTACATACATTCATGGTCTCCAGGTGATGAATCAGACTGACTTTGGTAATACTTGCTAATATACTCGAATCTAGCGCTACCATGTGGTTGATATTTTTTGTTTTTATTGAAATAGCTTAACATCCACACAATGGATTGCCACTCATGGTCCCCAGGGGATCACTTGTACAAAATAAATTGGTCAACCAATGCTTTGGTTCATGACCAAATGCCTCTAAAGTTAATGCCATTACTGTTTATATAATTAGTTGCCTTCCGTATTTTAATTATACAAGAGCAATTATCTCCAAATTGGTTTTCTTTACTGTGTTTATGAGAGCCACAGTCAGTGTGGTAACAGATGAACGGGAGTTGTCATCATGAATCAGCTGTCAACACCACTAATTAGGGAGTTAAATCTTTGGGTCTATTCTTAGCCCCTGCTCTTTCTTCAGTAACACAGAGCTGAGCAGCTGACAGCTGATCAATCTAATGCTTCACTGCAAACATTTAAAAAGCAGCACGATGGATACTGATTAAATTAGGAAGTCAGTTTGTCTTGTCTGTAAGATTTTTTAAATATATTTAATAATATATTTTCACCCAGATGAACATTCAAATTTATCTACAACATGTAAATGTGGGCAGTGATTACCAGGACATGTCACAAAGCTAAGACAGTGTCTGCAAATTGTATGTTGTTGTGCACATTCCAAAAAGCTAGTAAGGAAATGTTTTTAATTTTATAGACATAATCAGATTTAATTCATTAATATTGTTATCCAAGCTTGATCCTTTAAATTGTGCCATATTTAAAGCAGAAGTAACTCTGTTCACAGTGAAATGCAGGGATCAGCCAAGACCCACAGTGTCATGATCATCATTCATTCAGAAATAGATTAGAGAGAATAGATTTTCTTTATAACATACAGCATTAACACTAAATGTGCTGACATTTGCATCTAAAACCAAGGCAAACAGAGTTAGAGTTACATAAAGGTTTAATATTCACTGGTCAGTTACCCATTTCATAACAAGTTACCAACAACAACAAGATGAGACAGGAATGATGTTACAGGCACGGCACTTGATGCTCCGCCAAAAAGTTACCTATTTCAGTTTTAACAATTATCTTTATTTTTATCTTTCCAAGCAGTTACTTAAGATCATAAACACAACATTGTGTCTCACTGCGCATAACTAGCATTATTAGCCATCTTATTAATTAATCGATAGCACACAACAGGTCCACCCAAATAAATGCGGCAGAGGATTTTTGTCCTTCTGGCCCTAGAAATAAAACTAGATTGAAAGATAATTTGTTTTAACATCACAAATTACCTTATTTATTTTAAAGATTTATTCCCCATAAACATAGTTTTATATTAGTGCCGTGCAGTCCATCAGGTTCTTGCTCTTCAAACATGTGTTCTCTATTGATCTCATATTGCGGTGTTTTTGTTGTCCGGGACTTATAGTCACCAACATACAAATACAATACAAAAATATTGTATTTCCTGGTAGTATCATGGGCTACATTAAAGCATCTGGGTAGGCTCACGATCAGTGTGCATGAAGCAAATATGTAGTGGTTGAAAGTTGAAACTAAAAATATAATGGAGACTATATGGACAATAATTCATGTTAATGTGAAGCAGCTAGTAGTTATCTGAACAACAAAACATTATCTAGTAGTATCTGGCCATGTATATAGCTTCTGTGTAATTTGCTCTTTCTGAGCCTGAGGTTGGGTTAGGTTAACAATGCTTTCTACTGAGGAAATGCTCCCTCTGAATGTTTCCAAATATCAAGTAAACTGTCTTATAACCTGCATGTGAATACATAACCCATATGTGAGGAGGAAAGCATGGATCAGTAGTTTAGGTGACGTGGGTGCAAAGATGTCGTAGGAACTCTCCTCTGGTGGTTGTGTCTCCAGGGAAAACCGCCTGGCAGAATTCACAAACATGAGACTGCAGCGCCACGTCTGATATCAGCAATCCACCTGGCTGACTCGGGAAGTCACTGACCAGGGAGGGACTGGCTGCCGCAGACATCTGACACAAACAGAGAGGACAAGACAAAGTGTTTTTTGAGCAACAACATGGAAATGTCCAAGGACAGACTGGAGACCCCCTGGCCACAGGTGGGCTTTTTTGTCTAGTAAAAACACCTACCCTCACTGTGTGCATTGTCCTGTCTCCACCATGATTATCTGCTTGCAACAGATTTTTTGAGGCATTGGCAGAAGCCCCTTGCCACCGCGAGGAGTCCTGACTTAACAGGGGTCCGACCTTTTGCTCCAACTTCCCATCTTCCTTTCTCTGATGAGGCACTTCCACACAGAGCTTGGACATATCTTTGGTGAGGAGATCAGAGAAAGTCCCCACATTTCCAGAGAGACAGTCAAGCTGTGCTGCAGGGTTCTGTCCTGTGGCTGTTAGTTGTTGAGGCTTTTCATGGAGATAGAAAGGGATTTCTTGGGTACACTGGACAGGGATGGACATCATATCACTCAGCTCTCCATTTGGAACGATAGCACCTGCAGGTAGAGAGTTTTAGAAGTGAATCATGACTGACACATATTTCATATTTATGAGCATTGGAATTACAATAGGTTTTATATGGACCTTGCTGTTTCTGCAGAGTTGTTGTGAGTTGATGTAACAGAGCTGCCTGTCTCAGGCAAAGTGACCTCAGTTGTAGAAACTGCTGGTACAGTTCACTGTACGCTTGCTCCATCTCACCACCTCGGGGACCTGCAGCCGGTAAACAGTTAATTACACCAAGCTGTACAGCACACTAATATAATATACACGCAGTATATACAGAAGGGTGCTATATTAGAAACAACACTAAGAGTCTTCAGTCATGCTAGTGGCTCTGTGAGGTTTTACTCAGGCAAACCAGTGCTGGAGAGCTAAATGCTAATGTCAGCATGCTCAAAATGACACACTGAACACAGTCATCATCAACCGCTTATTCTGTGTACAGGGTCGTGGGGGGCTGGAGCCCATCCCAGCTGACAATGGGCGAAAGGCAGGGTACACCCTGGCCAGGTCACCAGTCCATCGCAGGGCCGACACATATACAAACAACCACTCACACCAGGGCAATTTAGACTCATCAGTTAACCTAGCCGGCATGTCTTTGGACAGTGGGAGAGAAACCACGCAGACACAAGGACAACATGCAAACTTGCAAATTCTACACAGAAAGGCCTTGGATGACCAAGGTTCAAACCCAAGACCTTCTTGTTGTGAGGCAACAGTGCTAACCACTGCACCACCATGCCGTCCACTCAAAATGACAATGCTAAGGAAATATTTTCCATCTTCAATTTAGCCTGTTAGCATGTTTGGTAGGTAGCACTAAACACAAAGTACAGCTGAGGCTGATATAAATGTAATTTGCAGGTTATTTGCTCATAAAACCATGGACAAATTTATATTTTGACCTGATGATGGTGCTAGATTTAAAGTTAAGGGATCATCAAAGTTATAAGAGTTTATCTTCTAGGGACATTTCTGATTTCTTTGGGAAAAGTTCCATCCACATTTTTTTATAACTATCTCGGTATTCAGATATACTTTCTATTTATTTAATTTCCCGACCTGTCTAAAGGCTTATTCACACTGCAGGGAATGCAAATCTTGGGAAGAAATGCTGAAGCCTTTATTTAATTATTCTTCTGTTGACCTGTAAGTAGTCAAATTCAAACATACTGAGTCAAAAAATACTGGAATCAACTTGTTAACTACCCACCACATGTATATTCTTTTACTGTAGTACATAAATACATGGACATAGAACCTGTCAGGATTGTCCCTGCATGCAAACAAAAAGGTTTTAAATATCAAATCATTATCTTTACTTCTAGTGAAAATGCCAAAAGGCAAGTTAAATTTTCTTTGTCTTAAGATGATTTTAAACTCCTACTTGTAACATCCACTGCAGTGTCTTGTATTTCAGTAGTGATTTACTGACCCCTTATAAGCTCATCTGCCGCTTCTCCAACAATTCAGGACTCCTCGTCATTTCTTACAGCTGCCTTCAGGGTTTTCTCCTGTCGAGCCGCCTCCATGTCGAAGATGCTTCCTGATATTGTAAACGAATGAGACACTGTCTCAGTACATAAATCCAGACTCAAAGTACATTTCCAGAGCACAACAACAACAAATTTGTGATGGTGAAATTCACTTTTCAGGTGACGTATGACGAGTCTGTTTCTTCGCAGGTAGGCTAACGAAAATTATGCTTTACTCATGTAACAATACATGTGCTGTGTTGGAAATGGTTAACATAACATAAGGAAGTAGATTTTGAAAATAGGGAAATGAAACCCCTTTAGTATAAAAGGGAACCTTGCCACCACTCAGTTGGACTGTTAACTGAGTCTGCAGAGTATTTTTAGCATAGTCAAAAGAGGAAAGAGTCAGGCTCTATGTAATGTAAAAGAAGAACAGCACTGTACTGTACTGTTGTTGAAGATTTGACACACTGTTCCACAGTGTCTCTTTAATTGGGTTTGGCTGCTTATATGATTTTCTTCACCAGGTTTCAGTGATTTGAGATCGGTTGTGGCAGACGTAAATGTTAAAGGAAGACAGAAGATAGATGGGAAGAAAGAAGAAGATGTTTCTTGTTTGCTATCCAATTTATCCGCACTGTGTCAATATTCCCAATAACTGGACAGCAACAGGAATTCTCTCCATAAAATTTGTGTGTGTGTGTGTGTGTGGCTGCACCCTAACACATCAGCACTGCTACTTTATATATATGAACAGTATAATACGGATATTATAAAACATGTAAATTGTATATTAAATGCATAATGCCTCTCCATCAGTAGTGGGAGAAGCATAAGTGCATAAGTCTAGACCCGCTCTAAAAGTGCAATGAGATCTCTTCTGTTATGAATTAGTGCTAAATTTATAATACATACATTTAATTGAATTTATTTAAGTAAAAGAAGCAATAATGTAAAAAGTCCTACATGCCTACTAATATAACCTGTATTAGGAGTGAAATTCAAAATTATGTCATCATTATGTAGGAGAATGACCCTAATTAATGTTAGATTATATAGTATTGAAATCCTTCTTAAGTATAGTACTACATTAAGAGTAAATGTAATTATGTTTTATTCTAGCACTGCTCACCAGTGGTGGAAGAAGTAGAGCTTTTACTTAAGTAAAAGTAGCAAGTATTGGAAGCAAACTGTACTAAATGTATCAAAAGTAAAACTACTAATTCATGGTACCATTCAGAGTTCACTTTTATTTATTATTTATACATTACTGGAATATAACTAGACACAATAAGGTGTAAGAAGAATTTCAGTGTTGTCAGATGAGGCTATTTTAAGAACTTTATATACTTTTTTAAACAATGCATCATCTTTCATAAACTAATCTTAATCTGAAATGTAACTACTAACTATAGCTGTAAAATTAATGTAGTGGAGAAAGTACCACAGATATGTACTCAAGTTCAGCACTTAAGTGAAAGTTTCTTACATTCCACCACTGCTGGTCAACATATTCATGTTTTGTGTGTTCCAGTGTCTTTCATCACATGTGCCCTGTTACTGTCAATCCTGATACTGTGTGTGTAAAGTGAACATGTTTGCAGCAAATGTGTTTCATTCTTGTCGCCCACAAAATGTATGATAATCCCTGCCTTCTTCTCCAGTATTACTTTACAGATCGGCCTATAAGGAAATGTCTTTTTGGTTTAATGACTCCCCCCTCCCCAACACACGCGGGTGTGTTACATTCTTTCACTTATTTTTGTTGTTTGTTAATATAGCCTATGTTTGAACAGCAGTAGAGAATCAGCTTCAAAACGTTTACCTTGCTGGCCTTTATCCGACATGAATCATATGTGATTTGCCCTGTAATGTGTCACACTTCTTTGCTGCAGTTTCGCTGGAAAACGCGGAACTCAACCCGAGTTCGATTGATTTGAGTTGATTTCCTTTTCTGTAGCTGTAAGAACTTAAATCATGTGAGGATAGTTTCACCCGTGAAGCAGATTTAAAAATAAAGTTTACTTACACTCAGAGTGACCAATCATTCCCAGCAGGAAGCGCAGACCAGCTGCTGACGAAGCAGAACCTTCTCCTGGTCCGATTGGACAGAATCCGCATTGTTCAGCGATGACGTCACTACCTCGCCCTACAGCCTACAGCACGAACTCACCTGTTTCAAACCCAGAGACACCTGCCAAAATAACTTAATAATATTTTTAAGGCTGCCTTCAAACTAAAAGCACCAATCTGGACGAACGTCTCATATTTTATTGCAGTCGTTCCAGTTAGCCGTTCAGTGTTTATAAATTAAAGAGAGACCTCATTTAATTATAATAATTCAATAATTAGGAAGCTTCACACATTATACATCGGGCACACATACAACTATAATTCTGAGGACTTCAGTACTCACACAGTGTTTTACATGATGTCAGTAAACTGCTCACCTGCTCTCCGGTGGTACAGGTGGAAGATTTGCTATTAAACCTGCAAAAATGAATTATGTTGGCCAAAAGGGGGCAGTGCAACACACTGTAAACACAACACTGACATAGTACCATCTTATAAATGTGATATAGTGAATGTCTTAGCCAAAAGTTGCTTATTTAGGTCTACACATCCAGCAGACACAGAGCAACAATGCATCCTAATGGGGATGTGGATATGTGTAACATCTGTCATGGAAATCCATTCAATAGTTCATTTCATTTAAATACACCAATGTGAACCTCAAAGTGGTGCTGGAGGAAAAGAGTCAGGGGATCACCAAAGTGAGTAAGATTCATCCTCTGCGGAGCGTGAATGTCAGGACAGTGGGGACAGGTGTGTTGAGCCATTAAAAAATGTTTAGTCATGTTTAGTCCAATACCCTCAGGGAGTATTCACTGTGTGTGTGTGTGTGTGTGTGTGTGTGTGTGTGTGTGTGTGTGTGTGTGTGTGTGTGTGTTGTGTGTCATTTTGGGTGTTCAGTCATGTGTTGACTGTGACTGATATCGATTTAAAAATAGACCAACATTAAGGCAGCAGAGTCCCGTGGGTGGCAGACTACCTTTCATGCCATCCATCCACTTAGGAGGAGCAGCAGTTTTTGCTTTCAATGTCAGCCCCCGACAGCTGAGTTTATGTGTGTCCTTGTGATGTTAGAGGGGTGCCAGCTCTCCCTACTTCAGACTGGTTATGTAACTCTGAAACTGAGAGAGTCATGTCTTTGTCAAGTCGCTTCTTCTTCAAGAGGATCCATTTGTGTCGTTGCCTTCTTTTTGGCTGAGAAGTGTGTTGTTAAATGTTAATCATGTGCTTGCTGACCTCATAGTCTTGTTTTTTTCCCCACTGTACCTACATTTAAATACTAGCAGGACTGTATTAAGTATTTTATTGGCACCTGATGCACACATGTTACCCGCTATCTTGTTATATGTAATCTAAAGTCAATTCATGTGATCTAATTGGCAGATTAAAGGGACAGTTCACCATTTTGGGAAATGTAGTCCCCGCTAGTGGCCTGAAAACTTCATAGTGACAGTCCCAGTGTGTTTGTGTGCAGGTTGAAAAAGCAAAATATAATGTGAAAGGGTCAAATATAGAGCTGGCTGTTTCCCGTTTCCAGTGTTTATGCTAAGCTAATTGGCTGCCTGCTCCATATTTAGCGTACATGAGTGCGGTATCAATCTTGTCATCTAACTCTCTGCAAGAAAGCTAATTATTTACCAACTGCATGTTTATTTGCTTTATTGTCTGGTGCTTTTCATAAGCTGCCGGTCAAGGCAGGAACATTATCAATTTTATTTATATAGCCTAATATCACAGATCACAAATTTGCCTCATGGGGTTTTACAAATTGAACAATGTACAACACCCTGTAACCTTACCCCCTCGATTCAGATAAGGAGAAACTCCCAAAGAAAACCCTTTTAACAAGAGAGAAAGAGAGCTGAATAATACAAGATGGCTGTGAGAATGAGAATAAAACAATGTCAAAGAAAAACACATTAATCTGTGTTGTACCCTATACTGCAAACATACAAGCAAACATACTAGCCTGCGCTAGTATGTTTGCTGGTTTGGACCATGTGTTTGCTCTGACCTTGAACCCCTCCCTCCACACACACACACATACTCATGCACACGCACTACACCCTGTCCGCCAGCCCCCGTGATCTACCACCATCCTTTTGCACTTGATCCCTGTGTTGGGGCTGAATGGGGTTGAAGTGTGTATGTGAGTGCACGCGGAGGCTTTGCTGTGAATAACTTCCGGGCATGCAGCCAGGAACTGTCATCTGCCAGTGCAACACTATCCATCCTGTCAATCTTGTTTTATAATTGTAACGTTCTCATATTCTCTCCAGCTGAGCAGGGAGAAGTTTCCAACATAGTGAGACTCACACAAACAGACAAAGAATCTCATTTCTTTAATTGTTACCTGCCTCTTGTGAGTTTGCATCTTAAGTTGTTTGTAATATAAAACAGTCAATGATCTGTTTGCATCCACTTTTTCAGTCTCCTTTTACCTCTGTTGCTTCAAGCACCTTTTCCTGTCAGGTTTGCAGAAGTGATGTTCATCACTTCTATAAACAGGTACAATGTGAATGCATCAGACAACACACTCATTTTATTTTTGATGGCCAAGAAGCACAAATACAAGCAAAAGAAGTGCTGCTTTTTTTTTGGTTCCTTTTCCTTGAAATAAAATAGTGACTCAAGGCTCCAAACGACATAAAAGTGTAATCTTTTTTCAACTTCTCTGTTAATAGCAGCATAATTATAATTTTAAGGGTATTAACTTTGAAGCATGACATCCATCCTTCAAGTGCATCACTGAGTGGTCACTCAGTAAAGTTTGTAATACCCAAGGACACAAACAAGACCGCCACTAATTGTCCACAGAGCAGGTTTTCACCATCCCTTCCTTTCACCCACATCAGAACGATCATTCGGCCGGCTGGCCTTCAATTTATGAATTTAATCCTGCGAGGACTAAGAGTTTAAGATGTGGGTGTACAGTTATCACAGGGATGGCATGAGCAGTGACGTCTGCCAACTCATTTATCACTGGACTCTCTCTTAGTGAGAGAGCCCAGATCCAATTACAGTGGTTTCTATGGGCTCAACAATGGTCTGCTATAAATACACTCACAGAGGGTTTTCCACACTCAACAACACATCCACACACATGCTAGTACTTGGTGCACAAATATACAGTATGTATGACCATGGGAGACCCTATGATCATCACTGGAATGAAATTATCAGGCCAGCTTCTGTTAGATCTGCATATTTGTCTGTCTGAAGCATAGTGAGGGATTATGTTGTACGTTATGTGCACCTGTGTGTAGGTGTGTGTGCATAAAAAGGCATAGAACAAAGAAGAGCGGAGAAAGAAACACAGAAGCCCCCACCAAGCACTAAACAGCTTCACAAGTTATTTACAGCTCATGCCATCAATAAACGACAGGTGCACCATCTTCACAAACAAACCTATTAGCTTTGCTCCCGCTGGAACAATATCCTCTCCAGTAATCAGCCGCTCACATACACACACACACACACACACACACACACACAAACACAGACATTTCTCTGACAGAACAATATGTGAAGTTTTCATGTTACACATTATCTAATTACTGAATTCTTTGAAATGATGGTAAAGAAAAAGAATGAAAGGGATCACTTTGGTTCACCAAATGTGTTTTATTTAGCTGTCATGGTACATTTTATTCTGGCAACATATTCAGTTGTTAGCTGTTGTAAACAGTGGAGGTTGTCAAGTAAAGGTCCAAAATTTAAAATTTTACTAGAGTTAAAGTAGGTAAGAGTTAACAGCAAAATATATAGCCTACTTAAAGTATCAAAAGTAAAAGTTCCTATAAAGAGTGTCCTATATGTGTGTTAAATTATTATGCAGCATTTTAGTGGATTATTTTTAACCACGCTAGCAGCAATGCTCTATAGATGGCAATATCAGTCGACCAGCACTTTTGTCCAGACTGAAATATATAATAATAAACTATATTATATATAATAATAAAGACATTCATTGTCCTCAGAGTCCAGTTGTTCTAAAAGTTTTCCAATACCTTCTGACAAAATACCTGAAAAACTACTAACATTCCCATCAGACTCAGCTGTACTTTCAGTATATTGCTAATTAGCAAATGTTACCATGCTAACATGCTAAATTAAGATGGTGAACATAGTCAGTATTATACCTGCTAGACACCTGCATGTTACTATTGTCACTCTAAGTATATTAGCATGCTGAAATTAGCATTTGGGTCAAAGCACCACTGAAGTACAGCCTCACAGAGCTGTTAGCATGGCTGTACAGTCTTAGTGTTGTGACTGATGCATTTGCAGTAAATTCAAACAGTATTTTAATAGTGTATTTCACCGGAATTGTACTCAAGTACTGTACTTGAGTCAGTGTACTTCTACTGCATTTCCACACTGGTTAAAAAGATAAAATTGCCATGAAAACAGTTTGTACAAGCAAGTCCTGCACAGTTTGATGCACTGTAATTCAAAACATTTCACTGTATTGCACACTCTCAAAACTTTCCTGTATATTAAGAGAAGGTGTAGAAGCGAAGTGTAAAACATGGTGCTCGGCATTTTTGTGCAACAAATCAACATGACAAGCAAGTGAGCCACATAGAACATATAATGTCTTGTGCATGCAGGGTGTAAGGCTATTTTGTTCCTGAAAAAGTGTTGCATGTCAAGGCACAGGTCAGAAGTTCAGGGGCCAATGGCAGCTCCAGATGGTACCTTTTCACTTTTGGAAAAAGATTCCGTCAAGAGACACTGCGAGTTCAAACATGAGATATATGGACTGGGAAATGTATTTTTGAGTTTGGGCAATGTGAAGGGGCAACATATTTGACCTGTCATGGATACGTGACCATAACCAATGACAAGTCACACTGAAAGTCAAAAGGGATAAACACAGTAGATAGTTCTGATGAAATGCTTTTAGGTAAAAACTCTCTGAGCTGTGACCTACTTCTAAATCCTTCTTATGAAACTGTGCTCGTCTACTCTTCCCATTACATTGAGTTGGGCATTGCTTGCCATTTTGTAATATAATGAACACCTTGGTCCAAGCTAGCTTTCATATTGCCTCCTCTTTTCTCCCCTTGTCCCTTTTTTCCACTCTGTCTGCCAACACCAAAATCCAAATGACCGGAACGTGGTGTACAGTAGGATCGGGTGTCGAGCGACTGAATGCAGTCGGTGCTGCAGTCTTCTGTGGCTGAGATTGTCACGGTGTCGTCTTCCCTTTGGTCAGAGATGTTGCCAACATTAACGCCATGTGTGACAAAACAACACAGACTCAGTGAAAAGGAGATGAAAGACTGCTTTTGGTCACTTTTCATCACATCGTTGATATGTCACAAACTGCAGCACAGTGAGTGCTGCGTTAAATACAACCTAAATGTTGTTTCCTGCACTGCACTAACTGACCGGGAAACATTTTCTAGACTCTAATTAAAAGGATAGGTCTGATGATATTTTCTATTTTTCTGTCTACAAATGTGACGAGTAAATGAGCGGGTAAAGATTTAGCCTTTATAATTATTCTGTATCAGGCTCTGTGAGGGTATGCTTAGGCACAGTGCTTTGAGCTAAATGCTGATGTCAGCATGCTAACATGCTCACAATGATGATACTAACATGATATTTAGCAGGTAATGTTTATCATGTTTACGATCTTAATTCAGCATGTTAGCATGCTAACATTTGCTAATTAGCAATATACACAAAGTGAAAGAGAAAGAACATATTTGAAAACTGAAACCAAACTGATGACTGTGCTAAATATCAGGGGATTAATCCTAATGACCAAAGTCATTAGGATTAATCTTCTGGGAACCATGAATGCTTGTACAAAAGTTTGTGACAATTAACAAGCCACAGTGTTGCACTGGGTGACATGTTCCTTCATCAAGATGAACATGGGCACTGCCATTGTAAATTCACAGTTGAAAATAGTCCCCAGTAGTTTACTCCTGATTGAGTAACAGAAACTACAGATCCTGGCTGTTTTAGTAAATCGTTTACAAAATTAACGTATACAGTAGTGTCCTATTTTTAAAGATTTACATCTTTAATTAGAACAGGCTTGAGCAGGGAGTAGTCATTGAGAGATGCACTAATGCATTGTTGATTTTTTTCTTTTCATGTCGCTAAACGGGTGGCAATGGCGCAATGGATAAGACAAACGCTTTTAGTGTGAGAGACCCGGGTTCAATTCCCACTGGGACCATTGTGACACTTAACCCCTTGTTGCTCCAGAGGTGTGCAACCTCTGATATGTATAGCAATTGTAAGTTGCTTTGGACAAATAACTAAATAAATGTGAAGGACAATCGCCACAATTTTTGTAAACCGATGCTTCCAAAGACAGATACAAAATATATTCTGTCTCTTGGAATTATTAATGAAATTAAACTCAAATGTATGGAGAAACTTGAATATTGATCTTCCCCAGTTGAAACCAGGGAAAACTACAGATATATTTGTAGAGATAGTATAGAAACTATTATCTGACAAAGGCAACATGAATTACATACAGGAGACTCTATATCACTCCATCTCCATTTCCTAACATTTAAAGCAAGATGTAAGGTTTAGTGTTTTAGTGTTGGCAATTTGGCACCCCAACAGTTTCAGAGTGTAATTCACCATTGTCATAAATAAGGACAGCTGTACACCTGCATTTGTTATTATTATGTTACTTATGATTAAAAAAAACTAGGCATGTCGACAACTTTTCTAACACAGCCTAACATCAAGTAAGCGCAACAACTCAAGACAGCAATATTACCTACTAGTCCAACAGCAAGAAAGCTAGCGCTGAGCGTCTGACCAGCATTTTTTTTTAGCTCTTTTATCTCAAGCCAACAAGCAAAAGCCAGTCTGTTATTTACTCTTGTCCGGTCTCTGGCTCGTTTCCTCAGACAACATCTTCTTCAGTGTCTTTGCTGCCTCTGCCATGATATTCATACTGAGAATATCAAGCTAGCTTCTTCATTTCGCTAATGTTAGCTTGCTGAAGAGTCATTCTGGCTATCGCCTGGGATTTCAATGCTACATAGTGCAAAACCAGGCTCTCCGGGCCTGGAGGGAGAGTAGTCATTCTCCCTATTACAAGTCAGTGTATCATGAAAATGATTTTGAAGCTGTTTTTTGAAGGTACAATTTCTACATAATCCATCCATCCATCTATCTATCGTCAACCGCTTATCCTGCGTACAGGGTCGCGGGGGGCTGGAGCCAATCCCAGCCGACATCAGGCGAAAGGCGGAGTACACCCTGGACAGGTTACTTTAAACAATGGCAACCAATGATATTTTCAAAAAGATTTAATATCAAATATTCTCTTTTAATACTCCTGCACCATTTTACAAAAGCCCTGGCAGTAATTTCATAGTCCACACACACACATGGCCCAAAGAAAACACATAGAGTAGGATAAATAAGTATTCTTCAAACTGTTTGAACACTGTTTGTGCTCTTAGCTGCTCATCTTCTTGTCACATTTCACTGTGATTTCTTCAGAAGTCCATTTTGAGATGAAAATAAAAAATAAATCCAACATATAGAAAAACTGCTCAATTCAGAAGAATGTGGAAGACGGTAGGAGGGTTTTTCATGAAGACAGAGTGAATTTGGATTTTCAAGCACTGTTGGGTAAATAATCATAGAAAGGGTAAACTGTATCTAATCGGGGATACAAAAAGATTTAACTTAATTAAGTCTCTAAGCTGGACGGTGTCACTGTAGATATGAATTTCACTGCCTCAAAAACATGTGAACAGTTCTTGTAGATCTTAAACCACCTGTCATCACTTGATGTCCTTCCAGTTCAACAGTGCGTGTTCAAGTATTGTATCCTCTTTGTCAAACTGTACTGACAATTGCATCCTTCAGGCACTTCGTATCAAAAGCTGGCACAGACCTGAAGTTATATTCATCAGTCGAGGATGAAATGAGTTGTGACGATGACATTGGAATTGATTATTTCACTTCTGTCATAAATGGGGCTCACTGTGTGTGATATTTGGAATGAAATTCACTTAGTGTCACTTATTATAGTTCTAGGACTAAGGTTTTATAAAAGGCACTTTGCATTTTCATTCAGCAAGTCCATTTTTGTTCTTAAAAGGCCAAAAAATTTGTTATTACATGGACATGCAGAACACTGGAACGCTGCCAGCATCAGCCTTTATGAGGTGTTGCAAAATGGCAGCACAAGAGTTATGGCAGAACATTTTGTTAAGCTTAAGGCAATAAGGTTTGTAACTGGTAGTATCAAAATAAGAGTAAACTTTGGTCCGAGACCTTTCACAGGAGCACGATTAGGACTAAAACTATCTTCAAAAGAGAAATGAGTAAACATTTCTCTTTTGAGTAGGACTCCACAGTCCTTCAAAGAAACAGGAGGTGTGGTTCTGCCTGCCTTTTCAAATTTAACAGTCTACTACCTCAGCACCTTAGTGGGATCAAAAATCAACTTTAAAAACATGCTTTTTCAAAGATTAGTGTGTTTAGTTTTTTTAAAGAAAATTACGAGTATGTATCACTGCATTGCATCTCACCAAGGATCCATGTCTTACTAGTTGCGTAGCAAGACAACATTCACACATTTAGCACAGCAATGAAGTCATTTTGCAAATGCACACAAAATATATATAAACTGTGTCCTGAACTGTTAATACCATTTCAGCTCTGTCTGTGACAGTTTCACTGAACTAATATCAGTCTTTCTGCAGTACTCACAAAGGTACCATATTCAAACTTGATTTTAGAAAAATAATGGTCTCTTGAACAATGTCAGACATTTGTCAGCACAGTCAGTGTGAAAGAAGGATGTTAACCAGTAGAGTCCAAGGATAAAACCTCACATTGGGTTCTTTTAGTCTGTCATTTTTGTCTTTACAAATAACGTGTTTGTTTTCATGTTTTTTCAGAACGGCAGAGTATCCAAAAAGATTTTCTCCACTATAGGTGGAGGGGGCACCAAATCCTCCAGTTTCAGGTAGAAGATGCGCTGTAGGCCTTGTGTGCAGAGAGTCCTCAGTTCAGGGAGTTTGCCCAGAAGACGGGAAAGATAGTTGGGCTGGGTCTGGCTTGATTCTGATCCATTTCCGCTCATGTGTTCCCTTAAAGAAGTGATGAGATGATTCTGAAAGTCCTCTACCCGTTTGGGCTCTTTGAGGCCATGGCGATCTAGATGCAAAAGGTGTTCTCATGAGAAACACAGTCCTAAATATAAACATTAAATTCAAATGCAGTCAGATCCACTGTAATGAAAAGTAAACAGAAGCTCTCACCAGTGATGATAACTAGCGCTGAGAGGCAAGCGAACAAGGAAATATCTAAGTTCATGCGGTGAAGGTTCTGGGAGAAATCCATGATGGAGTCAATCCAGTCACCAAAACTGCGAACGCACTGCAGTCGGTGGAGGACCACACCGTTACAGAAGATCAACTTGTTCTTCTCAGGATTTGATCTGCACAGTTTCAAACCAACAGTACAATCAGTACATTGAAAGGTGCACATTCTTCACTCAGAGTAAAATATTAGTTAATGTGGATAAAAAAATAAATAAAAAAAACCTGTATGCAAGTCGCAGAATGAAGAGCTCAACAAAGGAAGATTCGAGGAGCAGCTCCTGGTCCTCTGTGCAGAAATCTGTGAACCCTGGGATGGTTTCAGCCCAGTTTCTTATCACATCCAAAGTACTGGTCAGCAGGTCATAAAACTGCTGGATATCGCCGGCATCCTCCTTTTCTTTCAGGTTGTCCACTGTTTCCTGGTACTGAGGAGGAAGAGAAGGGAAAGGTCACTGCTACTGAAAAGACCTGCAAATACCATCAGTGAGCTGTTGACACACTGCAAGTCTTGAGATTTACCTTGGAGTAGTCAAGCTTTTCAAGGGTTGGGTTTGAGTCCAAATGAGCTCTGACAAGAGAGGCTATTATGTTGACACTGGGGGTCGTGGATGAAGCCTCAGCCACAGTCTTGGGTTTGGATGGCAGGCGACCTCGGCGACCTTTGAGGCTGTCTGTTCGAACAACTAAGAAATGGGCAGAAAAGAGGAGAGGAACACTTAAAGCAAACGTTAGTGACACTACCGTCGCTGCATCTCACAATTTAAAAAACAACTATCAGTATCAGTTTCAGTTTCCTTTTTCCTGCAGCTGGCACTATAAGGCTCTGGTTTCATATGTCTGTCATTCCTAGCTTTGGTTTCACAAGACTGTCATTACAAACCCCAGTTTCAAGCGGTCATTCTTTAGTCACCGAAAGCTTTAAGAGAGTCTGACATTGCATTACCTTCTTTGACCATTCCCACTGCAAGACATTTCTGGAAACGGCAGAACTGGCAGCGGTTCCTCCTCCTCTTGTCCACTGGACAGTCTTTATTGGCGAGGCACACATACTTTGCATTTTTCTGTACAGTTCTCTATAAAACAACGGAAATAATTACATTACAATAGGTTTATAATGCTGAACACATATGACAATGTGAATGACAGAAACTGACCAACAAATCTGCACAATATCCTGTGTTAGATTAGCATCCGGGATTTCTGTATTATTGTACAAAAAGCGTCACCTGTTTTGCACCTGCATTAGTATTGGGGCTCTCACAAAAACACAAAACTACATAACTCAGTAGTTAGCATCAAACAATACTGGATTTTTTTTAAACTGATATAGATTTTTCAGAGAACACAATTATAATACTTTTTTACACAAACACATAATATGAGGAAACACTTTTGATAAGGATATCTTCAATTTGTCTTCTGAGCAAGATATGTACTTAGCGGCACACAGTGCAGTTAAACCTGTCAGTGCTTTCTGGTGGACAAACTTTATGATGTTACTGTACTATTATTACTATTTCTACTACTACATCTCAAACCTTTCTTTGGCGTTTCAATACTTCAGTTACCTACTGGCCAACATGTATGCATCTGCAATCTGCAATAAGATATTATCAACCGATATGTTTCCCCAGTCTCAGTAGAATAAACCTCCTGTCCAGCTATTCACCTTGAAGAAACCTTTGCAGCCCTCACAGGTGCGGACTCCATAGTGCTGACAGGATGCATTGTCACCACAAACTGCACAGCGGCCCTCACTGGATCCTGGGTTGTGGGTTTTAGGAGACGTCATGGCTCCCTCCAGCATCCTGGGGCTTTCCAGTGGTACGTGTTCCAGGGACATGGGGGGACAATGAATAGGAGAGACATGCTGCTGAGGAGACAGGAAGAAAGGGTCTTCGTGGCCTGGCAGAGCGTCCTGATGCTGCCCAAGGGGAGACAGCTGCCCTGGTGCCGGGCTGAAGGTGAAAAAGGAGAGCTGCTGGGCCATGGCGGCCTTATCAGCCACAGAGGACTGGGGGGCTGAGGGGTAGGGACTGAAAGGGGAATCCCAGACAGGTGCAGACTGGGACTGAAAGCCCGGCGTTGCAGGAGAAGTAGCGGCATAAACTGGGCTGCCATAGTAGTCAGAGCCACATGACGACAGTGTTTCATCAAGGCAGCTGAGCGCAAAGGATCCTGGGTAACAGCCATACACCTGGAGATCATCCAGCTTGAAGGCTTGGCTCTGCATCTGAGGGCAGGAGCTTTCAGCTACCGCATCGTGGCTGAATGAAACTGTAGAGGCAGGAGGAGAGGTGGTAATCTTGCAGGAATAAGCATCAAACTCCCCCATGTAGCCATTTCCCACCAAGGTGTTGATGCTGGGCAACGAAGACGTAGACAGCTGGTCCTTTTGGCCACTTATGTCCATCATCAGTTTGGCACTGAGGTCAGCGTTCAAGAACTCAGAGCTGAAGTAGGTGTCATGGGGCAGGGATGCATACTGGGTTTGTACACAGGGCATCTCTAGGACAGAGGACAGCAAATATTACTGCTGATGAAAGTAAACCCCAAAGTTTGTCCATCCATAAATATACTAAATATGTGTCATTAAAATTTAACAAATGTTTTAATAATTCAAAAAAAAGTTTCTTTTACTTTTTATGCTTACTTTTCCCATTCAAATCAAGTTAAATCCCTGGGGATAACTAGGACTGATAGGGAGTTGTTTGTTTAAACATGTATATGGTATGCTTGCAATGAAGTTCATGCATCCCAGTAAATTAGATATTGCTTAAATGATCTAGGTCAGCATTTTTTTTACCACCCACTTTAACCATTTCAACAGTAGACTACTCCAAAACCTTGAACACGCACGGTCTCATTTCCCCTACAAGCTATGTCTCTAGCTTCAGGGCCAATCAAGACTTTTAAGAAAATGTAGAGGGTGGTCCAGTGGAGCAATCAGATATTGTCAGATATTGAGTTACTGGCTGTTAATGCTCTAAAAAACCCTTTCAGTGGAGGGCAACCCTCTCATAGGGACTGTACCAGGGAGTGTTGCAGATTGTATGTCAGGGTGGGCTGAAAGCCAGCTGAAATGGGAAGGTGGTAAAGCCTGTTTGTGTGTGTGTCTGTGTGCGTGGGGGGGGAATGGGCGTGTATCCAGAAGTGCGAACTTCCTCATTCAATTTTCAGTACAAAAATTAAGAACACCTGAGCACACTTTGAAAACGGTTCAAACTTCAACCAAATTGTCATATTATTTTCCTGAAACTTACAATAAAGCTCAACACGTGGGGAGACCACACTGCTCAAGTGTCCAACCTGTGTTTTATGTCCTACAGATACACATTACATCTTCTATTAAAGCAACTGTAATAGAGCCACACATAAAACATGCAACATATAAAATCATGAGGGTCGTTTAGTTGGAAATGTGGACCAGGCAGTTGATAAAAGATTTTGCAGTGCTGTTGTATTAGACTACATTAGTTTTAGTTAGGTAGGCTATACCAAACAAACTTGCTACAAACTTATAGCTCTGATTGATATACCAGAGAGAGGTTGAGGCACATATGAAATCTTTAAACATTAAGGTTGAATTGTTGTAACAGTCCAATCGGTTTTGTCCCATGAGCTTAAATTATTATGAAAATTATAATTAAGCATAAAGGCAAGCACATACATCACACATCAGCATTAATGTGGCCCCCTGAATAAATAAAAATCAACATAATGCAAACAGTGCTCTTTCACTTACCCGGTTCATGTAAATATCCAGATTTTGTAGCTTTTCATTTATTCCAAACGAGTGAAACTGATGAATGTCACCTCCGCCAGCTGCTGTCACACACTCATTCAAACACATTCACACACACACACTGGGTCAGACCAACGCAGGAGGCACCATACACTCCTGCTTTATTTTGGCTGCGTCGACAAAAAGGCGGGTCGATGCCCAAAAAAGGCGAACGGGGCGGTGGAACGTTCCGGGTCGGGAGCCAATCAGCGCCCGGTTCGACACAGACGTTCTTCCGTGTGACGCACGGACGGGATTCCATTGACGCAAGAGCCGGGGGAGCGTGCGTTCTAAATATAAACCAACAACGACAAAGGCGCTCACGTGGGGATATTACAGGAGAAAAAATGCTAAAAATAGCCGTAGTTTGGAGGTGCAGACGATTTGCGACTGGAAATGTAGATATTACAGACGGTTACAACGGGGAGGTGTGTTATCATCTGACAGACCAGGAAACACCTGTGTGTTTTTTTCATAAAATATGTTTTTTGTTTTCACAGAACAGCTAAAAACTCCCCTACCCTTCTCAACTAAACTCGTAGAGGAAAATGTAAATACTTGATTAGTGATGAGACCCAAAAGTGTTCAATAGTAGCCTACAGTTTAAATTTATGAAATAAAAACATTATATTTATATTTTTATTTTGCCTCAAACTCTGTTATAGCAGACAGATGAAATAAAATTATGAATGTCAATGAGATCAATAAAAATTCATCATGGTATGATTAAGTTTGTTTTATTAAGTTTTTTAATGTTTTATCATTTTTTTGATATTAAACACTTTGGATCTTCACATTAATTAAGCTTATATTTTTACATTTGACTAAACAATCGTGTTTCAAGGTCCATTAAATCAAATCAAATCAAGTTTATTGTCACATATACAATCATACACTGTACAACTTCTAGTAAAATTAGTTCTGTGTGTGAGGATACTCTACAACTTCATTTGAATCATTTTTTACCTATAAAATTCATTTCTGGGCTAATGCCCCAATCTTAGAGATGTTTACTGATCCAGTTTACACTGGCCTCAATTATACAAGGTATAATTTTTTGAATGGTTATTAATGAACACTTCAACATAAATTTATAATTTAAGCACTGAGAACAACTTCTGACCCACAAAATATGATTGTAACAACAGTTTACACTTTGAGATGTGAAATCACAAACCATTTCACTTTGTAATGTCATCATCAGGCAATTTGCACTTTGGATGTCACGGCCACAGCTGCAGGTGTCCATTTGTTAGCATCAATTTAAGCATCACCCAATACCCCTTATGTCATAACCTTCTCCACAACAACCAGAAAAACCAACACACACTAACACTTGATCCCTCTCTGGGGACCTTTGGGTGTGATCTAATTTATTTTTTTACGCAAGAAGAAAGTGAGAAGGATCAAGGGTTGGAAGAAGTTGAGATTATTTACGAAGAGGGAATGTGACCGCACAGGCCATCCTGGAGTTAATGAAGTTAATTACAGAGGTTAGAGTAAAGTATGGATATAAAATAACAAACTTGACTGGACGTATTATCTCTGTCTCTGTCAATCAGGCATGAAAGGACACACACACGGTGGCGTGGAACACACACACACACACACACACATATCTATACATAGACAAAAGAACGTGCACATACTATAACAACATTGCACGTGTGAATTGAGCGCTCCTGCTCTGGTATCATTAAGAATCAAACATGTTGTGCTGACTGTAGCTTCGGGAATGCTTTACTAAACATTGTTAATACGTTTATGGTAAAATGTAGACTACCAACTTGAGATATTAACACCGTTTTTTTAATTTGTGTATTTTTAAAGTAACAAACAGCAGTTTTTTTGGTGCGTCTAGTTAAACTGTTGCCAGACTGTCAACATTAGACAAGTTTAATTCGCTTTACCTCAGTGTGCAGAAATGATAAAATGTCTTGGCATAAAACCACACATAGCAGCTGGTGATGTTGCAGTGGTACCAAGTACTCAAGTACTTTGAGACTTGAACTTTGCTTTAGTATTTACATTTCATTCTGCTTAATACTTCTACTCCACTACATTTCTGAGGCATATATTATACTTTATACTCCAGTACATTTCTTTGACAGCTTTAGTCACAGCTACTTGTCTGATTTATATTATTTATACAAAATCTAATCAACAAATACATAATGGTTTATTATTGTAGATTAAACTACCAAGCAGTATATTTAATAAATAGAATATCAGCCCCACCTTTACCAGCTGGAACATTAAAATGATGCTTACACAATAATGCATCAATAATCCTATAATATAAAATGTATATTCTGAAAGGGTCCAGTATGCGTCACTTGTGCTGTTGTTTAGATGATATTAGGCCATTTATGACCACAAGGATCTTGTTTAATCTTGTTTCGTGTATATTCTTGAAACAAGTCAGTTTGTATATAAAATTGGTTTATATAGAGTTTGTTACTATATTATGTTAGCACTGGCAATTATTTCTTGTGAAAAAAGAAGGCTTTTCTGACTTCACAACAGACAACTTGACTTAAAACGAGAATTCAGTGACTTTACAGACACATTTCGACAGACATGTCCCATGTGCCTTTAAAATAATTACCCAAACAAAGATAAAAATCTCACATCCAGACAAAGCAAGTGACATTTACCAGAATGAATTCAGTCTTGTTTGTCGGCACCGGATAACCCTTTTATACTCAAAACAAGTCCAACTAGATTTCACTTCCAAATATAAGATCATTTCACTTATTATTTTAGCTTAGCATTTTGATTTTCAATTGCCATGTATATTTGTTTAATCTTTCATTTCCACCAACTCTCCTCTCTGCTCTTTCCTCCATCATCCCCAACCCTCAGTCAGTCCTCATGTCTGATACTTTCTTCCTTGAGAGTGCAAACACACAAACAAAAACTGAACCAAACCTCTGTTGTTGTCTCATTCAATTTGAACAAGAGCTTCATATTCAGCTGCAACAAACACTTAAGATCTCCACATTTACTTAAAAGGTCAGACAATATATTACAAAGAGAAAAAAAATAAAGTCTTAAATCCAAATAATCCCTTTGTAAACAAAAACTTTAAGTGGTGCAACAAATTGTCTGCAATTCCTTTATCTGCTCGTTCAGCTTTATAAACCTCCCTCAAACTGAGTATACAATACTGCAAGACACACATGCAAGTGACAGCTACACAATGTGACATTATGGCAAGATATTAAATTACTTTACAAGCATGTTACATGACAACAAGTACACTGATAATCCAACACATGACTGACTTACAATATATTTATATTATATTTTGCAGGATTTGCATAAGCAGTGATATTTCATTAGATTTCCCTGTGTTTCTGTGTATTCTGTGGCTGTTTTTAAGAAGCCAATGGGAGAATCACATACTCTGCAAAGTTACAGGATGACAAAACAGAAGAAACTAACATTACTCTTGTCGAACTATGAAATGTGTTGGTTTTTAATACTTAACATGGTAAATTTGGCAGAGCTATAAAAAAAACCACACACACTGACATAAACACATTACATTATATTTCAGTTGGATGAAGACCGACAGTGAAAAGACAGGTAGGATGTTGTTGTTGAACAAGATGAGCTGCTGTGAGGGTCTGAAGGCTGAACAAAGCCAGTTCATCACCAGCTACATTAGGAAGTACAGGTAAAACTCAACAAGACACAGTTTGATTAACCACAAAAAAAGCTATCACAACATAAAATAAACAAATATGTTCTATCCCTATACACAACGTGCTTTGCTTGTTTATTTACAAAAACAAAAATAAGAATCCATTACATTTAAGTTGGCACACAACAGCAGCGATCAGATTGAGTATAGTGACTGCTAACACTGAGGTCTGTCAGTGTGGTCTCTGCCTAAATGCTGAAATAATTTGAAATGACAACAGGGATTAAGTGCAAAAGACAAACAATAATGCTTATAATAAAAACACACACAGTTGTACACTCGCCGATGGACAAACTCCTTTGAATTCTCATCCTGCATCATTTTCACGATGATTCAGGGGGGTGTTGCGACCCTCGGCAGACTGGAGGATGCAGTGGAAACGTTAATCTACTTGAGGTGAAAGAAGCCGGATGGTTTTGTTGGTGCAGCCATCAGCATGTTAGCTTGGTTCTTGTGAGTTATGTGGATCTATCATAAATATTAAAAAAATAAAAATAAATAAAAAAACACAATTTTGGTGAACATCTTTTTAATTATTTGTGAAAAAAATGCATCATTCCAAATAGCCTGGTAAAACAAATATTCTGTCATCTTCAATTAAATCAAGATTGTTCCCTATTGTTGTTCACTGGTATATGTCTCCAAAAATATACTTAGACACCTCCTGTGTAGTTCAGCTCTCTGTGGCACAGTACGAATATCCACCCTAAGCACTGACTTTAAATTATGTCAAAAGCATGATCAGTGAGTATGATAGGGTGCAAGGGCTCTAAACACTCAGTTGCCAGTTTATTAGGTACATCTGATTAAAACTAACACAATATAATACAAAATTGTAATAAATACTACCTTCATGAGGTTATAATGTTCAGTTTTTGGTGAAAATGTTTAAGAGAGGTGTTGATTCAACTGTGTGGTCATTTTGGAGGCTGCAGTTTGTATGATGTAATACTGAAAGGTGTTTTTAATACATTGCCTGTCCCTTTTAAATCAATCACTTATCATTGAGGGCAAATATTAGAAATACCTGTGCTGGGTGCTTTTTTGTTTGTGAACATGTGTTTTTCTGATTTCAGATTTCCCCTTCTGTAATTTTTAACATTACAGCGCTATGAATTATGGGTAACTGGGGGATGGACGGATACTCGGTTGGTTGTTTGCTATTGATCACAAAGCTGGTGGACCAATCCTCAAGCTTCCCCTGACCACATTAGCAAGACCAACGGGAACGTTGTTGCTCTTATCTGTGCTGTGGTAGTAACGTGTCTCTGCCACAGTAATCAAAATAAATCTATGAATAAACGTAACTACTTTGCACACTACAACGCTGTCACCTCTGGCTTTAATTAATCTAAAATGTGATGTCTAACTCTTGACTCCTGTCACTGA